GAACAAGGTAAAATTATTTATCTACAAGCAATGTTTTAAATCTCTGGCTATAGCTGCCACTATAGCACACTATAGCTGTTTGAGACAGATGAAACTATTTGTGTCTATGTACAAAGCCGCTATAGCCTAATCTGGCTCCGCTATTAGCTGTTTTAGACGTTATCTGCTAAACGATTTAGCCAGAGATTTAAAAAATTGTCTACAAGTCGAGGGAATATAATAGGTGGACGGCCTAGCTTTGCAGCAGCAAACGCAAATCAATCATCTGAGATCTGTCAGTACTCAGTAGCTAGTGCCGGTTGGCCACTTGAACGATGCAAACTACTCGGTGCCGTGTCAACTCCGGTGCCATCCTGATGATCCAAGCGCGTGGACGAATAATCCCCACGGCCGTCCAATCAGGCACTACTAATCTCACGCGGTCGCCACCTAGCAGCACGTCAACTCGGCGTCCCGACCGCGCGACACGGCGACGGAGTCAGTAACGACGGCGACGGCGACGCTGGACAGCGACGGCGATCACCACCTCTGCGGCTCTGCCCGGACCCACCGCCGGCCCTGTGCCGGTGACGCCGGAAGCAACGAGGCTGACACGGTGACACTTAAGTCGCTAACGCGCGGCAGGATCGACCGATCGGTCGATCGATCGAGAGCCCTATACGGATTGACGTCGATGGAAGTGACACAGAGGCCGTTGTTTCGTGTCCGACTCCGAATGATGTCGACGAGCAGCGATGGCGACACGCGTGGCCGCATCCGACATGCATGAGCTCGCGCCGGGGCCGGTGGCAGCGCGGGAGCCGGCACGGCCGCATGGGCCGATGCGTGGCCGTGTCCAGGAGCGGTCGCTGCCCCCCCAGCTCGCGTTGTCAGGGACCCGGCCGGCCCGATTGAGGCTGGCTCGCAAGGGACACGCTATTATATTACCTAATCACGCAGTCTGCTTCGTCTTATCTCTCGATTAAAAGTGTGCCTGATAGATGACTTCCGTGGGCCAACGAACAATAACGATCCTGTAATAACGTGTGAACGGTATCTTAGCTAGCGCATTAGTGATCAGTGCTGGCTATTCCTATCTAGGGTGGTCTCATGTGTCATTCACATGTCTGTAGGGCAGCAATGCATGCAACCCAGTCAGGCATCTGACTGCATTTTGATTTTGTATATGCACATGGTTTCTGCGACTTACGTCGGCTGAAGCTGATTTGTTATGAGAGAAAAACAATGGTCTATGACTGATAAGTCGGGCTAATAAGTTCAAGCAAACAGGGCTTGCAAGCTTTCAATTTGTTTTTGTTTTAGTAAAAATTACAAGGGTTGGACATGCATGTTTGTGGATTGGGATCGGAAGACCCTACAGGCTTAATGTATGAATATGACTAAAGAATCGAAGGTGTATTGTTTACTCTATACAGGCATATGCATGCACGCATGTGTAAATAAATGTAAACGTTCCAGGATCGGAGGCCATGCTGCATTGCCTCCCTGATTCAGTGATTCTTGTCAGTTTTTCCACAGCCTGCAAATTCACGCATAGGCCATGTACAATGCAGAGGCTCCTGTAAAAACGCTTGCAAGGACGCTTAACTTGTCCAGTTAACTTAAGAGCCCCTGTTAAGCATTTTTTTTCTTACAATGGCAACGCCATCTGAGCCATCAAATACTCCGGCTGTTGAGGTAGTTTCGAGACTTATCTCGAGCGCCCGGCTCCTGGGGATCACGCAAGAGTCGCTCCTCGCGCCGCCGCCTCGCGAAGCGTCGCATCCGTCCGCGAGCGCCCCAAACCGGACACGCTGGACTCCACCGTGGAAGGAAAACGGAATACCGGCCCAAAACTGCCCGTAGGCGCCCGGCGTTGTACGTGGCCAAGTTTCAGCGTTCTGCACTACTAATAAGTACGGCTCGGTCAAAACAATCCAGCGGCAGCGGGTAGGCCGCCATGATTCCTGCCACTCCTCCTGCTGCTGCTAAAGCCACGCGCATTACATTTACTGTGGCCTGTGACAGCAGCTGCCGCAAGCACAGTAACCTGAATCAATTCAGACGCATTAACGCAAAAGCCTGTAGTGCTGCAGCTGCAAGATCAACCACAGTCGCACCTTGCAAAGAGCCGACTCATTCAATGCCACGCAAAGAAAGAGCAGACTAATTTAAGAGACAATTAAAGCATGAGGCTTTTGGTGTGTCCAATCGGGGTTTGTTAATTACTCGTAGCGCCGTCGCTTTAAGCTGTCAGCTCAGAGCAAGTACAGTAGGAGAGAGATGAGAGGAGAAGCGAGCTGTAAGTTTATAGCTGGCTTGAATATAAGAATAAAAAAACTCTGTGAGAGAGACAAATAGGTCATGTATTAATAGTAAAGATATAACTTTTATATGAATAGGCTAAGAGATGACTAACCAGCAACTGGGTGTATTATTAGCCTCGCTCTCAAGCGAGATGGCAGGCGGTGAGGCCTCGCTCTCGATGGACCGGACCGATCCTCCTCCGGCCACCCGACTCCCATTCCGCCCTGCCGCCGGTCAGCGGGATCCGGGATGCCTCATGGCTGCCTGGCTGGGTCAATCCTCCTCCATCCGCCTGCAACGATCGATGACCGATCGGCGTCCCGTGGGGACGTCCATCGGCCAGCCAGCCAGCCAGCCATGCCATAGCCGATCGAACAGTGCCCGCACTCCCCGTCGCTGTCCTTGTCCCACTCGGACAGCTCCAACCGATCACAGCTACTGTACATCCGAATAAAGCATCTTCAGATCACTGCAGTACACCACCCGATCGATCTCCAGCGCCCCCATCGGTCGCGTCGCATGGACACTAGCTGGTCTGAGGCCCGCACGCAGCCGCGGCCGATGGGATGCATGCACGGGCGCACGAACGCACACGGGTACCATGCGGTGCGGCAGCAAGGGATGGTCATGGAGGCGGGGATCCAGGTGCATGCCGAGAGACCGATCGATCGATCCCGCGCGGGGGCCGGGCGCGCTCCCAACCCTACCAGCTGCCAGTCTACCATCACCACCTGCCGCTGGAGGCTGGACGGACATGGACGCATGGACCCCGGGGCGCCGGCTGCATGCGTGCGCTACCTCCCATCGGCTCCGTCCCACACCCACGGCGACGCGCAGGCGCAGATATGGCAGGTGGCGACGGCGGTGTGTCGAGGAGTGGCCGGGGCAGGGGCGGCTTGTCTTCGCCGCAGCGTTTGGGACCGGGCGCCGGCGAGATTTGGGCGTGCATGCATGCACGCACGAGCATGACCGGATGACCCTGGCCGGGTGGGGCCTGAGGCTTTTGGATGGAGCTGTTTGTAACTGGTGTCTTCTTGTTTGGCCTTGCGTTGCATCTGGTCTGGTGGGTCTCTCGTTGTCCTAGGATCGCTATGGCAGTACGTGTTGCCACCGGGTTCGCCGGCCGCGGTCGCCAGCTTTTACTGTCTGGTTTCAATTCAAACGCTGGAGCTGGAATTTCATATCAATTCCCATTCCAACTTTGGATGTTCGTGTGTGTCCAGAATAAATTGGGGGTGCGAGCAAACAATGCTACGGTTTCTAGACAAGCATCTATTGATGCTCGTGGTAGAGGGGTGGCCGATGCTGCAACAAGTGGTCACGTTATTCAGAGATCAGCTGCAATCGGCCTGCGATGCCAATGCAGGGCCATGCCATGGCACGATGATCTATCTATCTATCCATCCGTCCGTTCGTCATTTATGACGTGGACCCGGCCGCGAGGCAGTCGCGTTACCGGCCACAACGGCAAGTAACCGACCTGCTGCCTGCGCCGGCCGCCGGCCCGCCACTCAATACTACATGCTGGGTACCAGTACAGGTACGCCAGCTTTTGGCGCTACGGCCGCGCGCAGCGCCTTGGACGCCGGGAGTTCCACGGCCGGGCACGCCCCCTGCGGCACGGACGCGGACGGACGGACGTGCCTGCACTGCGTGGTCCGGCACGGTGGGCGCGGGCGCCGCGCGCGGCCGTGGCCCGGGCTGGCATGGCGCGCGGGCGCGGCACATGAGCCGGACCAGGCCGTGCGGTGGGTGGATTCGTTCACCGCTCGCTGCGGGCTGCGCGCGGCGCCTTTTACTTCCTTGCCCTGTTGCGTTGCCCGTCCCCTGCCTGCCTCCCACGTCTCTGCGCCGTGTTCCAGGCGGCAACCGGCAAGGCCGGGGCCGCGCGGCTGCTGGTGGGTGGTCACCGGTCACCGCCGCACTGGTCCCCTGGAGGCCTTGGTCTGTTGTAGGCCGCAGCACATGTTGCCCAACCATTTGCTCGCCGACTAGAAAGCCACGACGCTAGCTTCAGAGCTCAGCCGTTCCGTAGCACGACGTTTTCCAACAGACCAACACGAATCTGCAATCCCCATTGAAAAGAGAAAGGCCACCGATAAATTCCGATCATTGCGCCCAGTCCAAATGATTTCAGTTGCTCGTGTGAACCACACGAACAGTTTCGGTTGATACTGATACGTAACACAAATAGGCTCAAATTTCGGGTACATTCAGAGCGCCAGACCGAGCAGGACTGCAGCAGTCGGCAGTCGGCACGGCTGACGCTGAAGAGAAGTGAAGCTTTCAATGCGAATCACGCTTGACATGCATCCAACAAGCCAGTGGTCACATGATACTATCATAGAGATAGTACAACTATGGAAGGAGCACGTTAAATGACCAGGCAGTAAGCAGTAACGGTACGTTTTGCTTTGGACCAGAAGGACCAGTAGGGAAAGGGTTTGACTTGACAGGGGGTCAATAACATTGAGTTGTTGACAGGGGTCACTGGGTAAATGTAGGTAAAAAAAAAGCCCCCAATTAAGGATCTACTCACCTTGCTATGATCAGAAAGCCTAGTGTCAGGGTTGCAAAAATTTAATCATTCAGAACACAACAGAAAACTAACAGAAACATTCTGATACTTTTCTGGATCTCAGTCTCAGGAAGGCAAATGCACAGCTAGGTCATGCGAAAGGGATCCTCACAATGACATGATATATGCCTCCTGGTCACCAAAGTCTCTCCATGCCCTCTGGATTCTTATGATTTCTGTGAAGTTCACACAAAAGGATGTAGTAGATAGGTAAGCAGTGAAGAAATGTTTTATAGCAAAGTACATAAATAGGAGTTCTCACTTGGATAGGAAGGTAGAGCTTGAACTCAGGCGGCAGCTCCTCCTCTGAGTAGAGGCGGTCAGAGAAGTAAATTCGGCGAAGTCGGCAGTTTGCATGAACTTGCACCCGCAGCGTCTCGACATAATTTGTGCCATACGCCCTTTTTGTCAGATCAGCGAGGTTCAACTGAATGTTGTTCCAGACATCATCAAGCCTCAACGGCATTGTGCAGATATATGGCTTCACCCTTGTAACAGACTGCAAAGAGTTTACAAGTCAGTGTGATTGCATGCACAGTGTGTACACACAATTTAGGTGCCTCGTTTTTTTAAATGGTGAAAAAATGGAAGGGATAAAATACATCAACCATTCAACTCAAGTGCAACCATGCAAAAGAAAGTGCCAATCAACCTAACTCCACCGCACTAAATAATAGATCAACCATCATGATACAATTATTTTTATGAAATGCCTAAAGGAAAAAAAAGGTGAAATATAAGACTAAATATCTGTATGCAGGCTGCAATTTTTTCAGAGTCGTAATGTTAACACATAGCAAAAAAATTTATATACACCGCATGTTTGACTTACGAGGGCATTAAGGACTAGATTGACAGAAGTCCATGGGTAGAAGGATGCAAGTGGGTATCCAATGGTGTTTTTTCGATCAGCTAACTAATTATAGTCAAATGACATTCTAGTTCATTTCCCTCCTCACTCAAATAGTCAAATTACGTGAAATGACATTCTAGTTCATTTGAGCAAGTTTTTGGGTCCATACAATGTAATTAGAACTTGCATCCCTAAGTAGAAGTTTGCAGGGTATAATGATAGGTCGTATGTTCCAGTTTCCCAAAGCCCAAGGGTTAAGGTGAAGCAAAAGACATTTGTAGAACGGATTGCATTTACACCACTCAAAGATAGAAAAAAGTAATAGAAGAATAAAACTTGTATAAAGTAGAAAGATTGCAGGTACTGATTGCCAATCCAAGAACTAGTATATTTCTATTATTATTATTTCATTACAATCTATGTTCTTAGTATGAAATAAAACTGCAAGTATCAATTGTTTATCCTAGAACCTCATACCGTTCCACCATTTATTCACTATGATCTAAGTTCATGTGAAATACTGTTTATGGATAGCTGGCGGTGTTTAACAGAAAGGATCAACAAAACTGAAGTTAGAAAGGAAAAGGAAATGTAAAGGATTCATGAAGCAGAATCAAATCAATCAGATAAGTAAGGCACACAATTTATTTCTGCAGAAAATGGAATGATCAGCAGCTCTTACACACTTGAAAATTTGATGCTCGAAATCGACGTCGGACGTTCTTGTCATCCAGAACTTGGATCTCAAACGTGAAGTATTTCTTAAGATTTTTCACAATAATGGCCAGAAATGGTAGCTTAATCCCAAGAGTAGCAGAAGGATCAGCTGGGCATGTGATGTAAGTTGACTGTACATTTGTTCCAATGATTTCAAGTACATTAGATTGGATATCTTCATCTTGAGGTCGTTTAATGTGCCCATTCACAACTGCAAGTGGATAAACCATTAAGAAACAGAAATGGTACATTTGACACATGTTTGCGGTAAGTCAGAATGAAGCACATATGCATTTACTATTTATTAGGTCCCAGGCTCCCAGCAGAAGTTAAAATAGCAGGTTGCAGTGTATGTACTGATGGACAAGTTCACACTTTCATGTCAAATATTTCATGAAGATTTTACTTTGTTGCTGGAAGACAATGATCAATAATGATCCAATGATATTCTAGCAGATGAAGTTCATACTTTCATAATCTATCCCACACACTAAGTGAACAAAAGTGGAGAAAGCCAGCATCAGAAGCAGATAGTGCTTTAGCAGCTAAAAGCTCGAATCCTAACCAAATGAATCGATGCTCTTATTTCGTGTCAGCACTCAGAAGAACAAGATGGAACAAAGGAAAGAAGTATTTGAGTATTAATAAAGAGGACAAATCAAGAAGATGACAAACCTTCCTTGTCCCATATCTGCAATGGCTTGGTCCTGAACAAATCACAATAGAAACACATGATATATCTTGTTAAGATGCATGATAGCAAAAGGAGACTAATATGGGATCACCAAACTACGTACCCGAGGCTATAAAGAATGGACAGGAACCCAGACTGAAATGTATTCTTGAACATGTTCTGAAGCCTGTAAGATCAATTCAACTGCAAAATAAATGAACAGAAAAATAAGAAGAAGAACATCTTCATTCTGCAATCCACAATAATGTCGGTGTCAGACTGTCAGCTAGGCACCCAGCATTGAAATCTTGAAACATGACAATGGTTTGAGAATGTGATAACATGCTATTTCATTCCTTTGATGGCACACCATCGTTAATTAGACTGTTGCATCCTCAAGAGAACTATTATAAGTAAAACTGCATCAGCAGTGTTAATAGCAATAGTTGAGACATGTCATTAGACAACAAAACAAATGTGATTGTTAGATTTTTTTTTTCTAAGGTGGCTTCCTAATCCCCTGCCAGGGGCAGACCCAGTAAAGGATATGTGTACACCCAACTTTTGCACACAAAAAATCGAATTTAATTAGGTATAATATAATACATATAAAAACTTGTAACAAAATCAGATCCGAATACAAATACCCTACCGAAATAGATTAAGTTAGGGTTCGGGTGCTCGGTTTGGCACAGCAGGAAGGGAAGAGAAGGGGCGTGCGGTCGACGGCGAAGGGTCCGATAAATACCTGGCGAAGGAACCGACGAGGCTAGACCCGAGCACGTGGCGTAGGGCGACGGCGGCGGCGGCGGCGGTCGCCTAGTTGAGCGACGAGAGCTCGCGCGCGTGCACGGAATGACGCGGTTGACGGGAGAAGAAAAGGCAGGATGTGAACGGAGCTCCCTAAAATCTTTTGTGGGCTTGTAAACAGGGCTGAATATCTACAGGCCCAAGTCAAAATCAAATTGTCCAATAAGATTGGTTTGGATGTTGTAGTCTATCTGAATATTCGAGGCCTGGCATGTGAGGCCATGTACTCCTTCCGTCAAAAAAAAAAACACGATAAAATATCTCATATTTAACTAACAATATATATATAAATAGTTCATGATATTTTCATAATATATTTATTTGTGTTATAAACATTAATATTTAAATCTATATCTTTAGCAAAACTTTAAGCATTTTATTTACCCAAGAAAATGTATCTTAATTGTTTTTTTCCTAGATAGTGGTAGTACAACGCAAGGACGAAGGCGCTTGGGTGTAGATTTCTTCGTTTCTTGCCATGGTGGACTCGTTGCATGGCTTTTGTTGCTCGAAAATGGCAAAATCACACGGGCTATTTTCAGCTATGCTTAGCACAGAATGCTAGTGCTTTAGAAGTTTCCAAAAAAAAATGCTAGTGCTTTAGCTTTGGGATTTGTGGGCACTTAATAAAGTCTTAGGTTACAAAGTAGGATGGGACAGTGTTGTTCTAGTTTATTAGGACGGTATAGTATTGTCTTCTTGTTTGATTGAGCAGATGAAGTTCATAACTACTTATATTTATTATTGGGAGATAATTGACACTAATAAGCAAAATTTCCCTTTATAAATAGGGGGGGGGGATGGATAGCTGTTTGATTTCCTTTAGGATGGTGTTAGTTTTGATTTCCTTTAGCAACCATTAGTGTGGCTCACACGCCATTAGGTTTTTTTCACCTTCTTCACTCCCACACCTGTCCTCACACACCACGGTTGCCATGGATGGCTGCCCCAGCTCAATTCACCTTGTTGCCCCTTACCAGTCCAAATCGGAGCTCACTCGCTTGATTCACCGATCGCTGCATGCATAGCTCTCCCACCGCTTGCGATGGGGATTGTCTCAATTAAATATATCGAAGGCATGCATCCCCATAGATTTGACACCCCTAGATGATTTTCTCTTTGCCCTAATTTTGCTTCTTGTTTTTTTTCATTGTAGTCTAGCAACGAGGAAAAGGTAAATGAAGACATAACTAGGTCTTGCATATCCCGCTCACGACAAAACTTCCCTTGTAACGTGTTTTGCGCATCACGCTTATTGCTACGGTATACGGGACATATTCATGTGCGAACACTACATACCACATTAATTATTTAAGATCAGATAATAATACACAAAAATATATGAGCGTAAAACACGCCACTCAACGAAGCAAAGTGAGAGCAAAGGGACAAATTTTCATAACATTTTTTTTTCAAAGTTGCAACATGAAAATCCACCGTGATAATTGAATATAAAGCAATTATACCCTTTCCAAGCATGTAATTCACCAAATTAACCTTCAAACCGGTTAAGCAATTTGGCATTAACTGGTTAAAGAAACAAGTTCAAATGTTAGCTATAAAGAAATGCACAAGGGAGACATCAACAATATAAAACTAACTAGAATGGAAGATAAAAAATTACTAATAGTAGGGTGGATGATTTATAGCATTTGAAGATATGTTAGTAGACATATTGCAACATAATAATTAACATAATAATTGTTGGTGCATTCATGAAGCAATAATGACGCATCTTATATACACAATGTAGACACTTTGCAGGTGAGAGTTGAAAATGGAGAAAAAATTGGTGGAAAGCCTATGTAGATATTTACCAAACACATGTTGAGAGCACCTCCCACATCATACATAATAATTGGTAAAATGTCTAGAGCATTTATACACAAAAAATATCAGAGAGGCAAAATGGATTTGGCAAAGGGTATTCTTTAAAAAAGAGAGCACCTCCCACATCAACCAACATGTATAAAATAAATAAATCAAAGGGAAAATGGCTCAATAAAGGCAAAATGGCTCAATAAGGCAAAAAGAGAAAAAGAAATCATGGCTCAATAAGCCAAAAGAAAATAAAATGCTGAAAAAGGGTCCGAAGAAGCAAATGGCTCAAAAAGACAAAAAAAAAATCATTGCTTAATAAGGCAAAATGAAAATATAAAATATATTAAAAAATTAAAAAAACATGGCTCAGTAATAAGACAACAGAAAAAGTAAAGAAATCAGCAAAATAATTAAAATACGCTAGAGGAAGGGCGAAATCATTGCTTATTAAGGCAAAATGAAAATATAAATATATTAAAAAATTAAAAGAATCATGGCTCAATAATAAGACAACAGAAAAGGTAAAGAAATCAGCAAAATAATTAAAATACGCTAGAGGAAGGGCTTGAACCTTCGACCTTGTGGTTAACAGCCACACGCTCTAACCAACTGAGCTACTCCAGCTAACTGCACTTGTGCACAATTATTATTTTATTTAATAATGGAACTCCATCCTGACTATAATAGTAATAAACGCCATCCGAGCCGTACACGATCCGCGACGGGAGCGTGTCCGCGGCCCGCTTTCCTCCGCCGAGTCAACATCAACAACATCGTGACGCTAACGCCCAGTTCGTGGAAGAGGAAGATTGGAAAAAACACCAGGACGAGAAGCGATCGTAGCGAGGCGACGACGACGGCGCCATGAGCTACCAGAAGGTCCCGGAATCCTATCCTCCACCAGGCAAGCCGGCCCCCTCCCCCTATCTCTCCTCCTTCTCCAATCCCTGCACCGACTTCCGTTTTCTCGATCTGAATTCCCAGGTCAGAGATCCCCTCCTCTTCGGCTCTAATCCGTCGGCCACAGATCGAGTCGTCCGTCACCCTTCTGGGAGTCGGCTCGGCATGAATTCACCGGGCAATGCGGCGCCGGATCTTCTCTCGATTGGTTGAAGTTTGGAAGGCCCCATTGTTACTGATCTGATCCAAAAAAAATTTGGAACTGTTTCTGCAGGGTACTCGCAGCCGTACCCGCCGCCGCAGGCTCCACCGCAGGGGCCTTACTACCCGCCGCCGCCGCAGCAACCGCCTCCGGGGTACCAGGGCTACTTTAACAACGGCCAGCAGCCCTACGGCTACCCACCGCCGCGCGATGGACATCATCATCACGGCCACCATCACCAGCATGACGACCACCATCACCATCACCATGGTCACCATCATCACCACTACCACCACGAAGACGATGACTGCTGCCTTGGCTTCCTGAAAGGATGGTAATGCAGGCCTTGCTCTTTTCTGATCACTTAGGATAGAAAAAGGAAATCATCTATCTTTTCTGATCACTTAGGACAGAAAAAGGAATTCATCTATGTTTTAGCTATTTACATAGGAGTAATAGTCTTGTGCTGATCAATTTATGTTTTTATACAAACTGATCAATTTATATCAGGGGAAATCAGTAAATCTGCTGTCTGAATAATCAATATTTGAACTGGGCTATGTACAATTGGTAAAAAAAAGGAACAAATTTGGTTTGTGCAATCTTCTTGATGAAAATGGTATAAGCTTTGTTCATGTTCTAGCCATACTGAAAACGTATATTTATTTGTAAAGATGCAGATTCATCTCTGTGTTGAAATGGCAGATAGCCTCAAATGCTAAGTTATATTGCGAAAGCTTAGTAACATTTCATTCGTTCATGTTCCCTTGCTTGGTTAGTTGCCTTACATTTTTTCTGTTTGTGCATCTTTTCTAGGACTAATAACAATGAAATTATTATCTGCAATAGTTGAAAGAATGTAAACAGGACTAATTACTATGCTTCTTGTAAACTTATTTAGACAGGTTGTATCTGTATGTTGACATGTTACGGGTTTAATGGACGACCTTTCTTGGCCATGGAATAGTATACAGTATTGGTGTATGGTGCATGCTGAGATTGTGGAGATTACACCCTCTGATTCAAAATACATGTTTAAGACATTGATAAGGTCTACAAGGTCAAACCTTGATCAATGATTTCTTTAAAATATGACATTTCAAACAAATGCAACTAAATGTTTTGAAAGTAGTTCTCATGGTGAATCTAGAAACATATATCTTGAATTGTCAATCCATGTAATCTTTATATATTTGTAGTCACAGTAAAAAAAAGTTTGACCGAAAGAACCCTAAAATGACATGTACTTTGAATAGGAGAAAGTGCCTACTATGATCTGTAGTTTTGTATTGATTATACTCTGGCCTGACACAAACATAAGTTAGTCTGCAGTCTCAATACTTTATTTTCACATAAAATGCTGCACTCTCGTATATTAGGTCAATGTTATCTAATGTGTACATCAATTACTACTGTTGACCGAAACAACACCTCCTTAACATGGTCATTTAACTAATTTCAATATACATGTGAAGTTGAACGAGGAAAATAACACACACATTGCCAATGTGTTAAGCATTTCTGAACATGCTAAAGTTTCTGAAATATGGCAAAAAGAATTGATACCTTGATTTATCTAATCTCTCTATGGTGTTGTGGGCGCGCAATGTCGCTGAGAGTAAGTTTGTGCTGATATTGGACTATGTCTTGGCGAGGCTGCAGCATGACTATTTTCATCATAACCCATATGTCTTGAGAAAGAAACATTTAGTGTTTCTAGTTCATTCAATAAGCACATAACCCATATGTGTTTCCTTTTGCAGGCTGGCTGCTCTTTGCTGCTGCTGCATGCTGGATGAGTGTTGCTGCTGCTTCTGACATACATGCACATGAAGCTCGTTGTATCTGGTTTCAGATACAACCTGGGACGGCAAAATTAGTCTGAGCATTTGACTGATTATGGTTGCTTGATAGTGTTACTTGAATTTTCGTTGTGTTCTTGTTCATAAAAAATTGAATAATATATCGTGTTAATAAAAGGTATTTGCACGTATCATAAAAAATTTGATTAATATATCGTGTTAAAAATTTTGAATTTTCGTTGTGTTCTTTCTCTGTCTGTTCCGATCCGATTGGTCCGTGAAAAGACTTGAAATCCTTTCTTATATCCACGTATCATTGAATTATGAAGAGATGTTGAAGTTCGGAGGAGCTGACAACGGTGTCAGACGTATCACGTATGCTCAACACGGTTACAACCGGGAGAGTAGCAGTGAGCAAAATGCTAATCTTCCTGAATTTTTTTGATGTTCTTCAAAAGATACTAGTTCATAAATTTTGTGGTATTATATAGCTTTGGTCTTCAGAAAACACGAGTTCATGGATACTGTTGTATTATATAAACTGGTGCGATGACCCGATATAGTCACTTTAATTCTATACAGACGTAGTAGAAAATAGTCAAACTTTTAAACATTCTAGTGACTGCCCATGCAATTCACTGCATTTTCCCCCACATTTATTTATAAAAAAACAATGTTGCTTTCTGATTGCATTCGAGATTAATGTGGGAGCAAAGAATACAAATACATTACATAAACATATTTTTCAATATCAGAATCTAATTCATTCATAGAACACATTTTCTCTAAAAAAAAAGTAAATTGTACCGATAATTTTTCATCATTTATTATATTACAAGGAACAACAAGCAATTCCATATACACTAGAAAGCTAGGGCGCGGCGTTGCCGCGCCAACTTTGAGCTGAGCTGTTGTAGTTTTGCTTGAGTTTCATTAGGTTATGTTTGTAGCACTTTAGGGGATGTGATTATATCAAAGAAAATTAAATGCTTGTAGCCCAAGTTCTGAATTTGCTTCAGCCATGGTTCATGTACAATAAGCTACTTTAGACAAGTGCAAATACTACATCGATCACTAACACTGAATATTACTTTTGCCATCAGAGATTTGTGTTAAGATTAAGTAAATCACCATTGGTAATTTCATAATTACTTGGTTTGCCTGAGGTTTAAGTAAATCATCATTACATAGTTAGTTGTCACATATTTCTGGTGATGAGTGAACTAAATAGAACATTGCATCACAGTGATAGCAAATTAAAAAAAATGTAATCATGGTGCTCGTAATCATCAAAGCTGCGGACATGCACATTTCATCAAACACCATGGCTGCAGTGTGGCAATTATAAAAGAGGAGAAAGAATATGGAGGCAGTAAGGATCGTCAACATTGGTTTTGAACTTTTGAACAACCTTGAGGAGAACGAAGTTGTTGCAGGCAACGACTGGGATCTATGTTATTTGATACCACTGCGGTTGATTGCCGGTACTTGGTAGCAGCAGGTGAGCATCCCCACGGTGGCGGCGGCGTCTTGCCGCGGGCTCATCGCAGTGGCTGGGGCGGCTCCTCACAGCGTGAGGAGGCCGCCGCGGTCGGGGCCGGCCGGTGCGGGTCTTTGCCGACCTCGAGAATAGCGTCCCTGGTGTGCGCGGCTAGAGTCGCCACGGCTTCTGAGTCCCTCAGTTTAGCCTGGAGCTGGGCGATTATGGTCGACATGGGATTGGCTGCTGTGAGTGCTGCAAAGTCCTTGCCGTCCTTGCCCTTCTTCCATCTGGGACCTGGCAAATCCATGAGCTGATGGCACACGACATGAGATTTGATGGAAATCCGTAATCCACAAATGTACGGGCATGGCATCTACGACATGGACGAAAGGGGAAACAGGAGAGAGAGAGAGAGAGAGTAGAGCAGAGACCGCCTCACCTTGTGCACAAGCAAGCGGCCGGCCGTGTAGCTGCTTGCTGCACCTGCTGCCGCTGCCGCAGGGGTTGCCCTGGAGGAGCGGCGGCGTTGGGCAGGGTCGCAGGGGCCGCCAGTCTGGAGCGGGGCAAGGCCGTGAGGCGCGGAGCCTGCGCGGTCTGCTGCAGCGGACGGCCGCGGCGGCTAGGCGCGGGAGGGGCTGTCGGGCAGGGTCGACTCACGACGCCGAGCGGAGAAAAGTGCGGCGCGAGGCAGGGGCGGAGCAGACGCTGGAGGCAGGGGGAGGCGCGAGGGAGAAAGGAAGGGAGAAGCGGAGGGCGGTGGGTCTGCCCTGCGGCCCGCGCTCGCCTGTGGGACTGCGGGTTGATTTCGAAATAGTATGAGGTGTTTTTTGCAAAATATACTGAGAGGGCCTCTGGAGCACGGGTTGATTTCCGAAAAATAGAAGGGGGTTTTAGAAAAATGACCGCCGCTCGCCCGATCTGGGCCGTCCGCGCACCCGATCGAACGGCCGCGAAAATCCGGTGACGTGACACGCTGTCTGGCCTCGGTTTGGGCGCAGGTTTCATATAGAAAGATTATATGAGTCTTTTCTTTTCTCCCTTCTGAATGAAAGTTAACAGTGTCACAACATTTCATAACGAGCTACGTACTATTTAGCTTGACAACTCTGCCTGCTGCCTGATCAAAAAAAGAAGAAGAAAAAAACTCTGCCTGCTGCAGGCTGCAGCACCGCTGCAGCTGAAAGAAATGAATAGAACAAGGAAAAATAATTGTCTGGTCACATAAGTTGGTCTGTTCATCTCCATCCTTACGTGTTCCTTCTTCAATTCAAATGTATCGTTAGCTTGGACAAGAAACCCAAGCCCATTGATCCGTATGGGCGAAAGCACGGGGTACACCGTACATACACTGCTAGCTGCATGTCGTCAGGTCCATCCGTTCGTGCTAGCTTCATCCAACGCTCGATCTTGATATGCTTCTGCTGCACACCAAGTCAAGTGAAACTATATACCGAATACCGATCGAGTTGCATTTAGGAAGAGGGGATAAATTAAACAATGTGTACTGCACTGCTACTGATGATGTGTCACGATTTTCAAAGCTACTGTGTTTACAAATTATTAACTGAAGTCTGAAGAAGAGATGAGCCTGGCATAAAGGATGGAAGCCACTCAGACTAGCCAAGGAGGCTGCCTGCGAGACCACACGCAGCAGAGCGCAGCCACACAGTGTGCAGCCTCTGCAGCAGGAGGCCACATGCAGCTCATCCTTGGCTACCAAAGCAGAGCTTCCATCGCCATGCAAGGCCACTCCTCTGCCCAGCTAGTAGCTGCACTAGTGCACTGCATGCTTCCTCGCACGCTCATCAATATATGAATGACTTGTGAATTAATTTCAGATAAGAGCCGCCCGGACTAGCCAAGGAGACTACCTGTGATTGAGGCCACAGGAAGAGCAAAGCTGCACATGGTTAAGCACTTATGTTTGTGTTTGTGTTTGTGCCTTGTTGGATGCAATGCTCTGCTTGCCGTTTGGTTATTTATACTGTCCAAGCGCAGAAATGAGTTGGTGGTAACTGGTAAGGTCATAGAAGATGGAAGCGGCTACCAGAGCTTTCTTTGACAGAAACGACCCTTGCAGGTTGCAGCATCGAACATATCCTCAGCTCCTCTTTTTTCCTTGAAATGTGCACATCACATCCATCCAGATGATGCATGTCCTGTCCATATGTCAATGATTCAGTGGTGCACCTTATCGTTTGCCGAAATTAGAATACCCGGGACCGGGAATATATGATTTCGTTCTCGCAAGACCTTCGAAAGGTTGGACCATCTTTCTTTTTTTTCGAAGGGTAGGTCGGATCGTCTGTTGACCTTCATAAAGTTGTTAGAATAGATATCGATTTGATCCCTTGTGTAGATATACTGCAAAGAACAGTGTCCTGTACCATTCTGGAGATTTCTCCATGGGCCCTGGATGTTGACGTTGACCTGCCTGACAAATTACTAAATTCGTCTTCATCAACAATCTCGAGAATTTACCTGCCCAGTCTTCTAAGGTATGTACAATGCAAAGATGCTTACGTAGATGCTTAAAAATTTTCATCATCAAGCATCGGTATAAGAGTCATAGCCTACAATGGAATCAATCATTTCATAGTCTTAAATGTTTGGCTGTAGGAGCCTGTTTAAGCGTCTACCTATGCAATGCGTGTATGATTTGTACAATGCAAAGACGCTTACGTAGATGCTTAAAAATTTTCATCATCAAGCATCGGTATAAGAGTCATAGCCTACAATGGAATCAATCATTTCATAGTGCTTAAATGTTTGGCTATAGGAGCCTGTTTAAGCGTCTACCTATAAAATGCGTGTATGATTTATTTTACGCTAATATTTAACTAGCCTCGAAGCGCCGGCTCCCGGTTTGACTAGATGCACGGTCCAAGCGTCGGCCGCCTGGTGCAGCACCTTTTCAGCCTGCAAGCGCTGATGCTTCCACCATGTCAAGAAAATTAGTTAATTGACGCTTAGCGCCGCCTAAGCGCTCCGCAATGTACGCCTAAGATGCTCATAGGAGTAGGATTTGTGTGCGTGCGTTTATAGGGTGAGCGTGCATGCGTTGTGAGCGTCTATGTTGAATTGTGTAATCTCAAAAAAAAAATTGAATTTGTGACATTGCTTAGTGATTGTTGTCATATTGAAATGGCATAGTTGAGATGTGTCATTGTCATGTGATGATGAGTAATTGTCAAGCATGGTGAAGTCCATTTAGTTGAGTTAGTCTTACTTATCATTAACTAGAGGCAAAGTGATGGCGGTGCAACATGTTTCTTAGTTTGTGTATATGTAGGTGTAGGTATTGGAGAGGACTTGATGGTCGATAGAGATAGAGAAGGTCAAAGATGTACCATGGGCGGATGAGAAGCCTTGAACTGAGGGACCAAATATGAGAGGATCATGGGTCACCCACAACAAGCACAAGGGCAACAAGAGTGCATGCAGAATGTGATGAAGATGATGTTGACCAGAGTAACGATGGGATCAAGACCAACCAAGGCATGTGTTGAGAAGGACTTGCTAATCGCTCGGCCCAAGGACGAAACGGACACATGTGAGCTATGAAGACTTGAGTTTGTTTAGCGGTTTGGGGATCGAAATAGTGAGCACTAAGTTTACTGGTTTGGACCACAGAACCATGAAGCGGAAAGTCTCTGGTAGCACATGGTGACATCTCGAGTTGGTGTCGAGGCTAAGCAAAGGGACTATATTTCCCTTGTATGGTAAGGGGCTAGGTTAGATAGTAGGGGCGTTATTGAAATGTATAATGGCACTATAAATAATAGAAGTGGCTTCCTAAGGTAGTAACCCCTTTCATTTTCTAGGGCTAGCCAATTACAAGGATACATAACAAGAGATAGGCTAGAGTACGGTTCAAGGCCCGTCTGACATGGCTTGACTTAACAGGTTTGCCCGCTAAGAGCATACTACCCTACAAACCCTAGGTATAAAATTTCTCCCTCCGGCCTCCATTCCCACACTTTCGCCCTCGGTTGTGAGTGTTTTGGCGCCCCTCTCAACACTCCCTTCCCATCATCCATTGTCCCTCATTGGCTCGTCGTTCCCCTCTCTTCTCTCTCCCCTCCATCCTCTAACCACGCACGGCCCCGCTCCCGACCTCTCACTCCCCTTCCCCTCCTCTTCTCTAGACATGGCCACACGGGACGTCGAGGACTAATGCTGATTGTGTCATGCACTGTGCCACTCACCGTCAAGCTCCGGACCTTCATAGCTCCGTAACTACTTGAGCTCTGGGCTCAAGGCCGAGGACTTGCTCGGTGTGCCCCCCCCACAAGCTCCAAGATTGTACTAAAGCTATGAGCCACATAGATCTAGTCCTCACCGCCCCAGCTCCATGCAGATCCGGTCTAGCGTCACTACATCGGTGAACCATTGATGTCTCCACACTTCAGGCTGAGTGCTTCTTTAACATATGATCAACCTTTTAAAATTATATTGTGGATAGCGTGCACAAAAGTAGTATATAGTTTTACTGAAAATGTGTAATCCGATTCATTATATTCTTCTCAATTTTTGCTAATAAATTCTTAGAAGAAATAAAGTTCCCATTATTGTATAAATTGTGTTGCGTTTGAGAGTATTGAACTAGTATAAACTCTATCATCTTCATTGTTCAGTGTCTCAGTGACAAAACACCGACATAATGATGCTCATTTAATATTAGATTAGAGACATTATTGTTCTTTTCTATAAACTTAGGATAGAATAATTAGGAACGACAAGGTAGAAAAAGATGACCTTCCATTCTATGCTTACATCTTCCTCGTAACCGAAAGATATTTTTGTCAATCCTTCAAGAGGAGTAAACCATGTTGTACATTCTCATTTTTTCCCTAAAAGAGGGCTGGTACAAATTTTGGCACGACCTCATAAAAAATAGGTGCTGTTAGTTAAATTTGGCACACCTGCCGGAGGACCGTAAGAAAGCTCTAACTAAAAAAGTATCATTACATTGCATAACCACCTCTGTAGATTCACTCTGTGCGCTGAAGCAGGAATAAGAAATGAACAGAAGAAGGGCAAATAAGTGCCGTTAACTCATGAATTGGTCTGATCATCTTCATCTTGTCATCTACTCATCTGTACCCTTTGCGTGTTCCTTCTCCATCATTTTAACGGACCTAAGAACCCCAGTTACCGTTCCCTTCGTCCCTTGCTGTAGGGCATAGAACACACCAAGAGGTTCAAGGTTGCGATGAGGGAACGTAGACTGAATGAAACTGTATTTAAAAAAAAAAAAAGTGTTTGGTAAGAAGTTCTATAAGCGGATAAAAAAGTACTGAGATGTTGTTTATGGCTAGTCTGTGGCATTCTCATCTTGAATTCATGCACCGAGCCAAACCCCGGAGTGAG